GCCATGATTGTTTTCCTATGTTCTGAAAGTCTTTGGAAGATGAAGTGTTGATTTGGAAAGTCTTCTCCCCACGAGGAAAGCCCAGCAGTGGAGCTGGGGCCCAGAGAAGTTGGGCCATCTCCATCCTTGAGGGGTTTCTTGCTCTGACTCTGTAAAGCCCTGAGCAGCCAAGTTTGATCCCATGGCTGAACCTGTGCTGGGCAGGGGCTGGAGACTTCCCCAGATCCCCACCAGACTGGGGTGTCCTGCGATCCTATGATTTTCCAGAATGCAACCATTTGCTTCAAGTTGGTAATGTCAGGGGGCAACGTAAACCTGAAGGATGACAGTTTGACAGGCAGTTTTGATTCTTGTTAATGGTAGTGACTGTCAGTTGTCAAGTCAAATGCTGTATAGGTACATGAGGGTTTGAACAACATTAAACTGATACTTACATGGTGCCACATCTCTCTGGTCCTTTATCCTCCCCCATACTCAAATCATGGACTATCAAAGGACAAGGGTGTGTTTACATGCTGGTGAATGATTAAATTAGTGGCTGTCAGCTGAGATTAACTGAGCCCAAAGGCTGTGTCCTAGCCTGTGGCAAATGAAAAGTGAAATGTGTTCATTGAAAACACTGTAGAAGTTTATTTGATTAGTGTGACACCTGTGAAGAATACGCTTATTCTAAGATGTGGTTCAAGAAAGTATTTTTTCTTTTGACAGATTCTGCCTCTGTTTTCAAGACCTTCAATGTTATGCTAACGTAGAGAGACTTAAAATTCCTTGTATAGTATGGGGCATAAAGGAGATATAGCATAACTTACTTTTTAAAGACAGTATCCTTTCTTGTCAGCTGAAAAATGAAAGGTTAGACTATTGACGTGAGTAATTCAAAAAATCCCTCAGGAAGCTAGTGAACAGCAGTGTGACTTTCTTGGCATTGGTGGGGTGTGCATCCTTCCTGCTGCTGCTTGTCAAAGACATGGTGGTTCAGTAGGAGAGAGCAACTTGTCCCTCACTTGATGGCATACAATTGGCTTTCTCAGGCCCGGTACTTACGAAGCCAAGGGAGATGTGTCACGGCACCACCCTTCTCCTAGTGTACATCAAGGAAAATGGATGTTTTCTTCTCACCAGCATCAGGCTCCAGCAGTCAGTTTTACTTAACCCTGGCTGCAGTGAGGTTTGCCTGCAATCATAAGATGCTCATTGGGATTGACCTCTAGAAATAAAAACATGGGAAATATTTCATTGTAAAATATACCAGCTTCTTGACTCATCCTTTCATACCGTATTCTAAAAGAAAGAGTAATTTGAGATAAAGAGTTGGCATGTCCTCATGGAAGCCATGACGAATCACCATAAATTATACATAAAGTGTATCAGGGTTATGTGAGTATCAACCAGATATCTACTCTATAAATCTACTCTATAAATTACATGAATATCTACCAGATATCTACTCTATAAAGGCTGTCTTGAACCATTCTCGTGTAAACTGTCCATCCATAGGGCAATAACATATGAAGGCATTAGCCACTGACTGTTGGAGCAGTCAGCACCAAGTAAGGCAGAGCAGAAGATAATGCTCACTGTAGTTGGAGAGGCATGTGAAAGCAATTCTGTGGAAATGATTTGTGTAGGTGAGTTTTTGCTCTGTAGCAAATAAGAATAAGTAGATCTGAGATCTGTGTGGTAAAATTTTTTCAAGAAAAGCACATTTACAGTCAAATTTGAGAAGGAAGTTTTTAAAACAAACAAACAAACAAAAAAGCCAAAGAAAAAGAATAAACTAAGGGAACATACAATTGGGAGCTACCTAAATGACAACGTTGAAAATTTCAGTTTCATCACATTTACATGACAGGGTTTTATTTGCTACTAGTTATATAGCTTTGCTTGCAACTTCTAGCTTAGGAAGTTGTTGTTTTTTTTTTTTAATGTGTATAGAATTATTTGGTGGAAAATTGAATGCAAAGCCAGCTAGGCAGACAATGAGTCTGGTTTATGTCTTTCTCCATCACACACTGGAAGAAAAGCCTGCAATTTTTAAACCCGGGGCTCATGTTGTTAATTAATGATCTTGTGCAGATGAAGACAAAGAAAGATTTAAAGTGTCTAAAGATGTCTTTTGCTTCTTTAGTTTCTGTGGCTTTCCAAAAATGCCTCTTACTCCCTCTTTTAGAAGAGCATTGCTCCAATGTCTCTTTTCATTCAATGTTCTGCTTATAAATTAAGTTATTCATATAATTTATTCCTATAATGATCATGGATCTCTTGTACTTTGCAAAGCTGTTTGCATCCAATCAAATCAGGAAAGTGCTTTATAATTACTGACACTGATAAGAGAATTGGATTGTCGCAGACCATCTTGGGTCTGGGTCCTTCATCCTGAGAATGAGACACTTCGGTTTGCTTTAAGTGCAAAGTTACATGGGCTGATACTCATCCAGAATACAGTTCTTTTATCTCTCAACTGCTTTCCATGAAGAGCTTGAGAAATTGCTTCTCATATTCAGCTTACAATAATTCTTTACTTTCTCAAGATCATTGAAATGCTGCTGGCTAATTTGTTAGTAGCATCTACCACTTAAATCACTATGTGAGAATAAATCTGTAAAAATTGTGATTGGTAAGTAGTTAACATAAAACAAAAATGAGTCTTACTGGCAAATTATAATAACTAGTCAACTGTTTATCCCTATAACTGGAAAATTCTTTTCTAGTTTATCTATCTATAATATGATAACAAATTGTTTAAACTGCCATCAGTCTTTAACCCCTGGTTCCAGAAGGTGGCTGTGTTGACAATGAGAATGTAGGAGTAATGGCAAATTCCTGTGCAAGAGCTAGAAAATTTTCTTCACTTTGTGCATCTTTGTAGTGAATTTTAACAGCCCAAAGCTTCAAAGGCTATCCTCTGGTAGACCTCATTAATCCAGTTTCAAATCTCTGCGCTCCCGAAGCTACGCTGTCCAAGCTTTATTGGGTGCATCTGCTACCGAATTGACACTTCATTTAGCCACCCATCTGCAGTAGTTTTACGCTTGAACCATTGTGGTGTAAAATTAACCCTCTCTGACAATCTTAGCTTAAATAATAATACTATTGGTTTGCAGAAGCAGAGAATGTCTATTAGAAGAATGTTAAAGTTCACTCCCCGCAGTGTGAACCTTCCCACTGTAACACAGGGAAGAGAGTGTTTGTCCGTATAGGGGTTCATTTGAGAAGCACTTCATTTTTGCATTTCTTGTAGCTGATTGAGGTTTCAAATTAACTTGATTTGATTTTTTTGAAGGGATGTGCTGTATCTTATCACAAAAAGAAACAGGCACACTGAATGGCTACATAATCGTGCTGGACACTGGGACTCTTAAGAGTAGTTGGGTGTGCAAACTTGGATGTGTAGACTTTGGCCAGGAGGCCTGCCCTGCATTCTTGCTACCCAGGGTTGAAGAAGATAGATGAAATTTCATGTTAAATTGGTTATCCAATGTGTTTTTTATTGTGTGCAGGAGTGAGTTCATTCAGTATTGTAAAATTTAGTTCTGTTTTTAATACCATTTGAACTGGGTTTTCCATGTGCCTTGGTCTTCGAATACTCTGGTAGATCCCCAGATGCTTGTCTTCTGTGACAACTGGCATTCAGATGAATTCAGTAGAACTTGAACTGTGGAATGGATTTCCATCTCAGATAATATCTTCTGTAGAATCAAGCTTATGTTAACTTAAACTGCTTGACAGACATGTGTCAAGCCATGTTTGCTAAGCTACACAGCACATGGCAACAGATCTCAATGAATTTCTTGTAGCAGGTGAAGAATCTTTCATTCTACGTTGAGGGGTACATTGGCTTGAAGAAGTGATGGGGATTGAAGGGCAAGGATTTGTTTATAAGTACTTTACTCCTTTTCTATTTTTCTTTCTTTAATTTGGACACTGTAAGCAGCAATGCATTACAGAGCTCTTGACTTCCCTCTGGGGTCCATTGGCAGTAGCAATTTCTGTAGGGCTATGATGCAATCTTTTGGTGCTCCTATGCTATCTTTTGGTGGTCCTATGCTACTAACAAGCACTGCTCCATTTTAAAAAGAGGATATTTTTTATTCAGACTGTAAAAATACTCTGCTGCACTTTAGATACCTATATGTAGAAGAAAGGTTGAGCTTCATTTAATTTCTTACTCTTTTTCTGTAAAACAATGCCTGCCATGCCTTACTTTGTTAATAATAATTTCTTGCAGTGGAGCAGGGTTTTGTTGTATGATTGGTGTGGGAATACAGAAAAAGTAGGTAGTTCTAAAAGCAACTGCTTTTATGATTAAGGATATCATTATTATTTAGTGTGTTTAAATCAAATTGCATTCTCCTCTTGGTTCATTAGGTGAAAAGAACACTCTTTGAAGTCTACAGGGTTTGGGTTTTGTTAGTTTTTCTGTTACATAATCTTCATTTCACAGCAGCAATTCTCACAGACTAGGAACACAAAGCCTATATTGTATTAAAATAGACAGTCATATCTTCAGTGCAGTCCTGAGTCTGTGGAAGCAGTAGGCCTTTGTGCTTAAGGAAAGGGTAAAGAAACTGGACTCATCACTGCAAACGCCATTCGTTGCCTGATCCAGTATGTCTTTCTGGTCATTGCTTGAGAAGAAACTACTCTGCTTTGCTGATTATGCAATAGTATATTTGTGGGGTGGAGGGAAAAGGAATGAAAAGGTACGCTTGTAGATGTGTTTACAACTTGAGTATTTACCTGAATGACTCTCTTGTCCTTATTCAGTGATCTATGAGTTCCTCTTATTAGGATCATTGCATCTTTCACAATGTTTCTGCTTCTGCATAAAATGGGTTACATATAGTGTGTTTGTTCAGTAATGCCTCCATGTAGAAAGTCAGGGAAATGACCTTTACAGAACAAAGTTAAGTATTAGTTTAATGCTCAAGGAGGGTATTAAAAGGTTGTGAGATACTTTCAAAACAAATTAGTAAAACATTTCTTTCATTTCTTTATAGATTCTGGACAACCAGGAAGTCCAAGCCACAATGATCCTGCCAAGAATCCACCAGGTAAATATAAGTTCCAGAACATGTGCATCTAACATTGTTTGAGAACAAAGATACTACTGTTAATAGTTAAAGAGAGCATAATTGGTCAGCAACCCATTTTGCACTGGTAAGTACATATAATCAGGACAAGCTGTGATTCTTTTAGGTTTTTTAAACTGGCAATGCCTCAATTGTAGTTTCAACATTCATTTAATCAAACGAATTTTTCTTTCAGTTCATGGTTTTTAGAATGTGAATGGGCAAAGGAGGAATGAGACAAGATCCCAAATAACTTTACTTTCATAAAAGTCTTCAGATGCTACAATTATTCTTTTATCTCAAACAAAACACAGTTGACCTACCTGTAAATCCTGGGACCTAAGCCACCAGCTTCTTTACTTTTATTTTATATGTGCATTCTGAAATGCAAATGTGTTATTTTTAAAATATTTTTATGTCGTCTCAGAGCAGCTTTTGAACACATTGTTAACAGGCTATGCTATTGATATTTAGAATTATTTTGAGAGAGATGTCAATGTAAAGCCTTTCAAAGATTCTCTAAAAATTAGAATCAAACCCAGACTTTGCCATTCCACACTGTTTAGACCAAAGGTTTTTCATATTTTTGTGGAGTTATCCTTCTAATCAATTGGGTTGTGCTGGTTGCTTTATGAATTTTGTTGCAGTAAGAAAAACAGAATCACAGAATCACAGAATGATATGGGGTTGGAAGGGACCTCTGGATATCATCTTGTCCAGCCCCCCTGCCAAAGCAGGTCCTCCTGCAGTAGGTTGCACAGGAACTTGTCCAGGTGGGTTTTGAATGTCTCCAGAGATGGATTCTCCACGACCTCTCTGGGCAGCCTATTCCAGTGCTCTCAATGTAAAGAAGATGGAACTTCCTATGTTCAAGTTTGTGCCCATTACCTCTTGTCCTGTCACTGGGCACCACTGAAAAAAGACTGGCCCCATCTTCTTGACACCCACCTTTTTAGTGTTTATAGGCATTGATCAGATCCCCCCTCAGTCTTCTCCAGACTAAAAAACCCAAGTCCCTTAGCCTCTCCTCGTAAGAGAGATGTTCTAGTCCCCTAATCATCTTTGTAGCCTTCTGCTGTACCCTCTTCAGCAGTTCCCTCTCCTTGAACTGGGGAGACCAGTACTGGACACAGTACTCCACAGTGTAGCAAGTGTCAACAAGTGTGACAGACATACTATCACTTCTTAATGAGCTTTTGAAGAGTGACTCCTGCCGCCACCATCATGCTGTATCTTCTCATTTTGGCTCTCAGAAGAAGTGTCTATCTGAAATAAGCTGCAACTGACTCAGTTTGCTCTTTTTCTAAATGCAAAATGAACCACACTCTAACCAAGAAGTAATTGTGTGATGCTGGGCTGTTACATATACATGAATATTTTCTGGATCTCTCCAAACATTAGGGAAAACAGCCTGCCTTGTGGCTTTACAGTTTTGTACTACGCATACGGTCAAAGTATTCTGTACATGTGGTGGAATATGTTAGGTGTGTGTTGGATGTCAATACCCAAAAGAGGGAGAACCATCATAGATTGTTATACAAAAGGCCATATTCTAGTAGTATAAACCCCAGAAATGTAGACTGGAAGATTGCAGATATATTTTAGAGGTATGAGCAAAGTCAACAAGGGAAAAAAGTCAAATAGTGTCATAAGCTCTTTTTCAAGTGATTTTTTAATGTAACATATTTTTTTTTCCAAGGGATGATGCAGGCTTGAAATCATTTTGGCTGGAGACTTTGATGCTGTTTCTCTCTAAACTGTGTGGGACGTTATGTAGGCGTGTATTTCTCTATTAAAGACATGACATAAGTTATGTAGGATAGTGGTTAAAAAACCCAAACCAGAAAATTTACACCTAAATCAAGCCTGAAAAATTTCCTCACAGATAATCACAGTTTTGTAAAACTTGAAGTGTTTATCTGTGGAGCATTTATTTTTGTTTTAGAATATCTCTGTGAGTGCAAGAAAAGTCAAATGCATTCATTACCCCTCGTCATTTTGAAGGATTCTTTGTAGCCTCTGGGCTTGGGAAGCTGAAGGCAGTCTGGAAACTCACCTTCAATATGTTTCAAAATTCTGCTTTTAAAGTACCATTTAGGATTTGGAGTAGGAAGGTAGAAGTGTGTATTTCACTAGTGAGGATCACATCCTCTGGTGAGTCCAGTTGCACCAACCCTCAGTCTCAGCCCCAGGGTACCTCAGCAGAGAGTAATCTTGCTGCCAGCAACAGAGCCTGGGAAGGACAGTATACAAGCAGACCAGTTATATACGCTTTCTTTTGGCAGCCTTGTGGGGCAAGTATCAGATGCCCCAATGTTTGACAAACTCCAGTGTCCCAGAAGGTATAGAGAGATAGAGGGCAAAGGAAATCTGTACCTGGTTTCATCATGAAACGTTCTGCTTGAAGTTTGAGCATAACACTTTCTCATGCTTTGGACCCACGACTGGCAGTATTATTCCTTTATCTGCTGCCAAGTGGGGACAGAAAATGGAAGCTGTGTCTTGCTTCCCTTGAAACCCTTCATTTAAGCTGAGACAGAGGAATAATTGAATGTCATCTGTCTATTTGAGGGTACATGAACTTCTAGCATTGTTCATCCTCCCTGTGTGATACTGTCTCGGGGTCAAACTGGCAGGGAGAAAGCATTGAGGTTTACAGGACTACAGGGTCCATGCAGGAGAATGAGAGGGGGTTGCACTCCACTCAGCTTGTGCTGTCCTGCTCTTTCTAATTATACTTCACATGAGTCTTTTTATTAGAACCAGGCAGTTCTTTTGTCAGAGCCCCAGAGGATATCCACTCTGAGGTTTGTTTTCAGTCCCAGACCAGGAGCACATGGACTGGCAGTGGCAGGAGGGTTTGTTCTTCTATCATGTTTTGGTCTGATGCCTGTATGTCAAGGAGCCAGGGCGCTGGCAAGGGATAGGTGCTGTTAGGTTTTGGATGCCACTACCTTCACAAAGACATTGCCAAGGAAGAGGAGGTTGGAAACCGAGTGGTAGTTGGCAAGGCTGCTGGTGTGAAAAGTGGGGTTTTCTAGGTTTGGCTAGACTGTTGCATTCTTTAGGGTGTCTGGTAATTTGCTGTCTTAACCATGGAGGGAGGGCAATGTCATTTGCCAAACAAAAGAACATTAAGAGCACTTGCTGGAATTCTTTACAATACGTTCCTAAAAATACACTGAATACTTTGATAGCATAATACAGTATTAAGATAGCGTAGCTTGCGGTGAAAATGGTATGTAGCTTTTGTAGCAAGATCTAGGGATATCCTCCTCTAAGTTTTATTTTTCAATAACTTTCATCTGGTATATTTCTAAAGAATGAAACTTGCTTTTCTGAGAGCTGGGCTGTAAAGGTTACTTCTCTGCAGGGATTAAGTAGGTTCCAGACAGATAGATGAGCTGAACTGAACTGAATCGAGAGGGAGAAGAGTTTGAACATGTCTGTTGTCCACGTCAGTCATTAAGTTCCTGGAATCTAAAACTTTCTGTTATGCTAGCACAGTGCTAACTATTAAAATTTACATGGTTTCAAAGAGAGAATGGACGTGTTCATGGATCCGTTGAGGATGAGTGAACAGATAGAGGCACACCTGGATTAATTAGTTTTAAAACTGAAAACACTTGGGGCCTGGACCTATCAGTCAAAAAAACCCAGTCCTACCCTATATCTTACTATTCTACTGGGCATCTGCTCAGGGCTACTGCTGAAGGCAGGCTGTTGAAAGAGACCTACTGTGGCAGTTTCAGTGTAATGCTGTATTATTTGCTCCGAACAAGTCGCAGAGGTCTTTTGTATAGGTTAAGACAATAAAAAATATTAGCCTTGTGTGTCTTGCAATACCTGAAAAGGTGTAGGAGGATACATTCTGAAAACAGAGGGAGTGATCTTTCAGTAAGTTCATCTGTTAGGCATAAGAAAATTATGAGGGTGAGTAAAAAGACAAAAGCTCACAATATTGGCACCAGTCTAACCATTTGGTCTCCAGTGATATAATCCTTACTAGCCATTTCTTCTGCTAGAGGATTTTCTGGGTTTTGTTCTCCTTTATTTTTCTTTCCCTTACCTACTGCCTGCTGATTACAACTGTTTGACATTAATAAGGTTACTTGCTACCTGCCACTGGTGTGAGGTTGCTGCTTGGCAGACTTGCTTTATTTATACATCAGCATGTTAACACTGCTGCGTCCACTTGTTGTCATGTTGCTCAAATCTTTGAACACAGCCTTTTCAGGCTGCTAAAATAAGAGTCAGAAACAGCAATACTGATAGAGTAAAATGTTATCTTGATATGACAATAAGATAGGGTAGACAGCTGAATACAATTTGAGGAATAAAGGGAACTGGAAACCTGTGTGAGTGGATACCAAGTCCTACTGGTGCTTCGTCTTTTGTCTTCTGGATAGAGCTGGGAGGAGAATAGTCTCTTCTTGTACACGTCCCTTCAAGATTTCAGAGCTATTCTTGTCCAGCATTGGGGAATAAAAAAGGTAAGATAACTTTTCAGAAGGTGCAGAGGAAACCTAACCATCCCGACACAGACAGTTATGAACCTCATTGGCGAGGGAAGACGAGTGTGTTCAGATTTTTGCTTTCATCCAAGCAGTTGAGTTCAGAGGTTACTAGAGCTGTGTTTCCTAGTAAGTGGGACCTACTAGATTTTTTTTCCTGATAGAACTTACTCCACTTGGTCCAAAGAATATTTTCATGTAAATTGTGCAGACTGTACATCAGTCAAGGCTGAATGAGGAACGCATATGACTCAGGTTTAAACATGTGCACTGATGAATATTACGTTATTTATATGGGGTGACACAGTTTTAGACAGAGAGATTGAGAAACTGTTTCTCCACCTTTCATTACTCCCCACTGTTTCCCTTCTTCTTTTCTCCACAGTAACCCATGATATGTTGTCAGGGTATTCATCTAGTGATAAGATCCTCAATCTGAATGAGGCATATGTGAATTCCCAGCCCCAG